TTGGCAAGCTTAGCCTTCCACTAGCTCCAATGCATTCTTTTGGCAAGCTTAGCCTTATATAAGAGAATGCAGATGTCTAAAAAGTTCCCCATATGGGTTTGTTTGTAACATTGAAGAAGTGCTTGATAGAATAAGCTCTTGGCCTTTCTGTATCTTCAAACTAAAACCATCAATATAATTCTTCATCTTCTATCTTTTTTTTTTTTCTAAAAAAATGAGTAATGCTGGGATAGATTTGTAATGTGGGGAGAACAAGTCAAAAATGGCTCTTTTATTCCGGCGAGCTCCGTAGAACTGCTCTACTCTCAGTAATGTTCACTTCTGCATCCAACTTCCGTTCTTCTTCATCGACCTGAATTCAGAAACCTCCCATGGAGTCATCACGCTCGCTCAAACCTTCTCAAAACCATGCACAAAACCTTAAGATCTCTCTGCCTCTCCGGAAGACTAAACGAAGCCGTCAAAACCCTCTTCTGCAGCGGCTCCCCGATCTCTCCTCCCACCTACTCTCTCCTCCTCCAGGAAAGCATTCACCGGCGAGAGTTTCTGCTCGGAAAAGCAATTCACTCCCACATCATAGCCACCGGATTCACCCCAACCAAATATCTCAACACCAAGCTTCTCATCCTCTATACAAAAGCCGGCGAATTGAAATCCGCCCACCACCTGTTCGATGAAATGCCTGATCCGAATCTCTTTGCATACAACGCAATGATCTCGGGCTTCGCGCACGAAGGCCTGGAGCGAGGAGGTCTTGAGCTATACTACTCGATGCGTGACAATGGAGTAGATCCTGATCCCTTCACCTTCTCATCAGTTTTCCATGCGTGTGCTGGACTGGCTGCTCTGGAGCACGGCAGGCGAGCTCATTGTCTAATGATCAAGAGGAAGGCGGTGGCCAATGTGGTAGTTGGCAGCGCTCTCGTGGATATGTACTTCAAGTGCAGCAGTTTGGATGATGCACGAAGGGTGTTTGACGAATTGCCTGACCGAAATGTGATTACTTGGACCTCTCTGATTTCGGGTTACGGACTCCACGGGAAAGTAAGAGAGGTGATTCAACTGTTTCATCAGATGGAAGAAGAAGGTTTCAGGCCAAATTCAGTTACATTTCTTTCTCTTCTCTCGGCCTGCAGCCATGGCGGTCTTATTGATTCCGGATGGAAGTATTTTGTTTCCATGATCGAAGATTACCGAGTCGCGCCGAAGAAGGAACATTACACGGTCATGGTCGATATGATGGGACGAGCGGGGAAGTTGTATGAGGCGTACGAATTCATACGTACCTCGCCTTGCGAATCGCATTCCACTGTTTGGGGAGCTTTGGTTGGAGCTTGCAGAATCCATGGGGATGTGGAGATGGTGAAGGTTGCAGCAAGCAGGTTTTTTGAGCTGATGCCGGAGAATGTCGGGAAGTATGTGGTGGTTTCTAATGCCTTTGCTGCTTCTGAGATGTGGGAGAAGGCTGCTGATGTTTGGGAGAGAATTGGGAGGTTGGGGATGAGGAAGGGGATTGCTTGGAGTTCTGTGGCTTCAGGTAAGTAGTGATCTTATTTTTTCGTTTGATATGGTTTTTAAGGAAAGGAATCATGATCATATTACATATAGACATACTACTTTAGTGCTTTAAACGATTGCATGAAAATGTGTATTTCACTTAAAAAAAAGTGATAATAGTGTTATTTTTTTAATGTGATAATAAAGATTTAAGTTCTATGTTTGTAAATATGAAAATGGGAGATTTACATACCTACCCACTTAATTGTTTAAAGATTGCATGCTTAAATCATTTAGGTTTTGGACATATTCATATGAATTATGTGAAATGAACTTTGTATGAAGACTTAATTGTGTAGAGACTTATTTTGGAAAGGACTTTCAAGTAGGGGTGTTACTGGGCCAAACCGATTCATGTGTTGGCTAGATAAGTGAGAGTTGAGTTTGATGAGCTATCAAGTGAAGTTTGAACTTAAAATAGACCTGACTCGAACTCGATAGCTCCTGAACTAGCTTGCTTATATAAAATATATATATATATATATATATATATACACACTCAAAATTTTTTAAAATTCAAAACTTTATTTATAAATTATTAATATTTAAAAATGTATATTTTCTATTTTATATCAAATATTTTCTTATCATATATTTTTAAATTGCTCAATTTATTTATCATTTTATTATAATATTAACTGAATTAATATTATCTTTTCTCTTTTTAATATAAAATAATCGGTTCTAACTCATAGACTTAAGCTGGAGCATAAATTTGAACTTGATCAACTAATTAAGTTTAACCTCAAACTGAGGGCTGCTCGAGCTCCAATCATTAACACCCTCTACTTTCTAGACTGTACAAATAATTTTTATTTTGGAGAAAACTCCATTGAATTTTATAATAAATTATAAAATTTCATAATATTATCCGTTCTAAACACGTGAAATTTTATATTTTAAAATCATAAAAAATTAAGAGAAAATTATTTTTAATATTTGTCAAAAATATGAATTTAAAAAGAGCTTAGATGCTATATACATGTAATATTAAATTTCCTAAAAATTAATTTAAATTTCAACAGAAAACTTCATAAAGTTCAAAATATATAAATTTTACATGACAAAAAAATAAAAATTTGATGAAGGTTTAATTATCATATGTTCATGAACTATACAATACAATAATATATATATATATATATATGTATTTCAAAAGAATGGCCGAAGATAATTATACGAACCCCCTCAAGGAGATTCGAACGAATGACCTGAGGGTACTTACGACCTTCAAAGAGACTGCTCTAACAGGTCAAAACTGAGGGGACTTACAATCTTGAAAGTGTTATATGTATAAATACATAAGAATTATATGATATACATGTAAATAACTCAAGATGCTAATGCCCATAAACTTTATGTATGTGCATTGTCTTGGTTGATTGTGTTATTCATTACAATTTTAAATAGAATTATTATTAGAGTATCATGACTTTGGGCCTCAGTGAGGCAGCATTTTACCAGTGTTTTACCGTGTAACTCAAATTCAATCAAATCGGCCCAATTCTAAATTCATCCCAAATGATCGAAGGTGTGAACTTCAAATTCATTCATATGTTACATTCTATCTGTAATTTTTCATACCAAACTCATAATTTCCTGAAATTCTGGTAAAAAAA